CCAGATTACAAAGCGTAACTACCTTTCTGAAAACAAATAGGGCCAAAAAACTTGCTAGGGTCAACGGCGGACGGCGACGCGGACAATCGAACCTAGCGGCGGGGTGCGTCCTGCGCACGTATTGATAGATGGCGTCGGGAGCCGCATCGGACGGTGTGGGAGACTAGCGCCACTCATATACAGTGATGGGCGACCAGCGAAAGAAAGCAGACGACACGCAGACGAAATTCGTCGACAGCAAGAACGCCGTTAGTACCGTCGTTACGCAACCGCGTTTGCTTTTATTTTTGTTAGTTCAAGTATTGCTGTCATTGTCCACGTTTATTTTTAAACCAATGGCACATTACAAAAGATTATGTTAATTTTAACAGATCATGGTCGTCGCGAGCAGTCTGGATAAGGACGTAGTGCCATCTATCAATACGTGCAGCCCGCCACTCGACTCGGTCGTCTGCGTCGCCGTCCTCCGTTGACCCTGGCAAGTTTTTTGGCCCTATTCTTTTACAGAAAGCGAGCTATACTTTATAATTTTGCTTGATAAAATCGACCTAAGAAATACACATTTGACGAGAAGTTCAGATTGCTACGTGCAGGCGGCGATTTTTACGGCTTATTTTAGATCCAGCTTGGGTATTTCAGACACCCTTTATATGTGAGGTTGCGCGTACTTCCCGTCTTTAAAGCCCCTGTCCGGACAAGGACTTTAAAGACGGAAAAAGTGCGGATTGAGATGTGCAGGTTACCGTACACTGCTATATTCGATAAAGGGAAAAACCAGGCACAATTCAACAATCACCTGCCGCGCAGGTAAAAAAGAAAGTGAATACATTTCTGTACGCGGTAAGTGTTGTGGTCGATCTGTCGTCACCGACAAAAAGTAATTGCAGAAAGTAAATGAAAGACGTTTACAATTCTCTGTAATGCCGAATTAGAGCGCAGCTCTTGAAAAGGAGGAAAGGAGGTGAGGGTATGCCCGTGTGACGTCACGAGGGCGACGTCACTCGTGACCCTCGTGACGTCATGTGTGACGTCATAATGGGAATTGTTCCATAATGCAACGCGCGGTTACGCCGACGGCGACGGCGACGCCGGTCAACCCGGGAACGGGCGCCTAAAAGCTGCGCTCTAATATATATATATAGATGTAAAAAGTCTAAAAAAACAAACAAAACAACTTGCGCATAATATGAAACAACAACAGCGCGATATTTTTTTAACGATGGCCTCGAATATGAAAGCCTTAGAGGGGTTGCACTATTAACGCAGATGTTTCAAGTGGTCTATTTGTAACCAACTAAATTTTTCTGTTATGTTTACGCGTAAGTGGTACTTGGGAAGCGACTAATGGGTGTTCTCGACTAATGGGTGCTAAAGGATCTATTAGACCCTCTTCAAAAGTTCATCGAGCAACATTGGCGTTCGCCATCGTTAGGACACGAAGCGCGTGATTGGACCCGAGTCCTCGCCGAACGCTGACGTCAGCACTTGTGTTCAATACGTGCTCAGAACACGTGATCAAGTGATGGCGGACAGTCGGTGCCGCGGACTTTTGAAAGGGGTCTATTTTGTTCAACGCACCGTCAAAAATCCAACGACGCGGGTGCGCTAGCAGTGCGGTTTGTGCACAGGTTGTTTATTGTTGTTTGTACAAGATAAGAGCAAAGCAGCCAACTTCGACGGTACGGGGCATCGCTGGCTAACAAAATGCCATCGCATTTGGCTGGGAACACGTAGGGAAAACCGCTCTGGTTTTTAATGTTTCTAACACCGGAGTAAAAACAAATACTTTTTCGTGACGTTTCACACAAAAAAAAAAAGACAGAAAAAAAAAGCGAGGTTATTTTGAGTTTAGTGTTGTACAATCAAGATTATGTTTTCTGCTGATGCAATAGAGGCAGCGGTTGAGGAGGATAGAACTGCCGGTGGACGTTATTGCAATTGAAGCAACCGAACAAAGATATACACTGGCTGATCATTTACTGGAATAAATCAACGGAACGCAACAGAAGAGGACAGAGAATAAAAATCAAGATGATTTAAATCAACCAGTTTTATTGTGATTTATTTATTTATTTAGTTTAACCCTAAAGGGCCTTTTCGGGCATTGCATCAGGGGAACGTTATACAAAGATTCGTGCAATTGAACCAAGTGGCAACAAAAAGACACAAATTTAAGAAATAAAGGTAAAAAGCATAAATTGAAGGTACAAAGCATAATTTTGGCCTTCAAACATAAGATATAAAAAATATGGCGCACAATAAAAACATGTACATTAGAAACGAGACACTACCAACAACAAATATTGCAGGTATACAAGACTATTCAAGGTTTAACATGTTTAGAGCGGAGACAAAAGACTGATGGTCACTGATGGAGGCAAGTTTCTCTGGGAGGCTGTGCCAGTCCGATTTAGCGAGGAGTAGTGGAGAGTTTTTGAACATGTTTGTTCGCGCAAATATGGGGTTAATTTTGAAAGGGTCATCTAAGCGGAACGATTTATGGTGAGGCGGTAGTAGGAAAGAGTCCCTAAAAGGCGAGGGACTGTAATAATGTTTATGAAAAAATCATAAGCGTGCGAGATGCCTTGTTGTATGAAGAGGTGACAAGTTAAGTCGAAGTTTTAAACTGCTCACACCTGTGAATCGGGAGTAGTCACAAGCTATAAATTTAGCAGCTTCGTTTTAAATAGATTCAATCTTACCTGCCAGATATGTTTGATGAGGGTGCCAGATGATTAATGCCTACTTAAGCTGAGATCTGACAAGGGCAGTGGAGGCAGTTGTGTATCTGGGTTTGCATGGAACAGTGTTCGTTTGAGAAAGCCAAATGTTTGCGACGCCTTATTAGCAATGTGTTCAATGTAAAGGTTCCACGTTGAGTCCGATGAGAGATGAACGCCAAGATATTTAAAGGATGAGACACTTTCAACGGCATCACTACGAATGAAGTACGTGTGAGACGCGAGATGTCGTTTCGAGGAGAAAGTCATAGCTTTTGTTTTATGTGTATTTATTTTCATCAGCCCCGTCTCACACCAGTTTGAAACCGTTGCTGAGTCATCTTGTAATATTGTACCATCGTTAGAGTCCATAACGGGACGGTAAATGTCGTAATCGTCCGCGAATAGACGAGCGCAAGATGGTATAAATCAAACTTTTCTCTCATTAATATTCTTTAAAATATATTTTTACTTACACTTTGTCTTTCACTTGGAAAAATATATGTCGTTTTGTATCTAACTCAAATAATAATCTAGCAAGGAATATTGTGACAGGCTGAACACGAGCAAAAAGCAGTGTTCTCTTGAGCAAATTGGAACGTTGAGCTTTCTTTCTACATTGCACTTTACTCGTTAAGTGGTGTTTTATTACGAGCTAATCATAACGCGAAAGGAACAAACCCAAGATAATGCCGCAATGCAAACAACTCAAAACGTAAAACAAGGTATACATTTTTTGTTTTACTAACTAGAAGAGGAAAAAAAATTAATTTGCACTTGTATGACGGAATTTACATTATTATAAATTATTCAGTGAAGTGTTGTACCGTAATCCTTTCGTCCGCATTGTTTTCAAAATCTGATGAATTGGCCAATCTGCCATTTTTTAATAGTGCATTTAGTGATGAATTACCTTTTTTTCCTGTGATTTAAATGAGTCAAGTTTAAATAAAACAAATCACGTTTTAATCAAATAAATCTGATTTACTTTATTTTTAAAAAAAATATCATTATTATTTTTTTGGAACAGTTTGATCTTGGAGTAATCATAAATGTTCTAGAAACTCGAACCACTCCATATCGGCAGCAGCGAGCGAGCGTTAGTTCTTCGGTACAGTCAACGTGCAGCCCATGAATAGTGGTCAAACACGGAGGTTTATATCGGGCACGTGCCTTTTCCTTTTTTAAACCGCCGGATTGTTTGTAATGCCCAGATGTAATAAAAATGGCGCTGCCCTGATAACACCTAGTGGAATGATATATGCAGGTTTTTCCTTTTATTCTTTACAGACTTGTTTAAAAAAAGCCGCGAAAGCTACACTTACGCGGTTTGTGCAGGTGAGTTATACGGCCAGGGGGACATAGTATAGCGGGCTAATCGCAACGATCAGTCGGCTAATTGAGCGCAATTTGTTAATTAACTTGTTAATTAGTGAAAATAGACATGTGGTTCCAATTAGAAACTTAATAAGCCATATTGAAAACTACTAAATCAACTCTATTTAGGAAGATATAAGAAAATGGCAGCATTTGGCGTACCGAAAAACGTTCAATTTTGAAGGCGTCTCAAGGTTTCGGTTTCTTATCGGAGCGCATATTTGCGCCCGCGGTCTTGCTCCCCGATGGATGCCACGCTCTCGCCTCCCTCGTAGGATGGGAAGGAAGTAGGGCGCACGTGTGTTGCGCGTCTCGGCCACGAGAGAGCAGGGCCGCGGGCTCGGAGATGTGATAAGAAACCCATACCTAGAAACACGTATAAATTGAGCGTTTTTACAGAACGCCCCTAAAATGCTGAACCTGCGTTATATGCTTCTAAAAAAATACTTGATCTAGTGGTTTTCGATGACGCTCAGCAAGTTTATTATTCGAACCATATGTATATTTTCACTAATTAAAAAGTTCATTAACAAATCTTACTTAATTATCAGACTGATCGTTACGATTAACCCCCTATGCTATATTCCCCTGGCCGTATAACTCACCTGCACAGACCGCATAAGTTTAGCTTTCACGGCTATTTTAAAACGAAAATCTAAAACTTAAAAAAAAAAAAAAAAAATGTATAGGAGGCTATGATTGGAGGCTTTGGTACAGTTTCGGCGGTTGATTTATTTTATACGACATAATAAGCTTTATAAAACTGTATACATAAAGGTTGAGCATGTTGTCAGGTCCCTACAGAGTTGGAAAACATCCTTTTTTTTAAAGGTTCAAAAATCGTCGTTGTCAGCTTGTTTAGGATCAACGCAAAACTGCTTCTCGAAAAAAAAAAAAAAGAAGTTGTGGCGACATAAGCGCAGCACTGCAGCTTTATTAAAAAAAGAAAAAAAGGAAAAAAAGAAAAAGGTTGGATTGTCGATGGGGCGATGCCGTGAAGTCCAAGAGGAGGAGACCGGTTCCCAGGTCTGCAGGGCGAATCTCATTCAGCAGCATCAACGGTGTGAAGAACGCCCGTAGACCCGTCCAGCCGCACTCTCTCGCCTGCAAAGACGCGTGCACGGTGGACATGTGTCTTTGAGCATTTCGCAAACGTCGTGCAAATAAGCAATGCTCAAGATAACGTTATCGACCCCGACGACCGTCAGAGAACGAGATTGACGTGATTGTTAGCAAACTAATTGTCTAAAACTTACTCCTTCATTATTTTTTTTTTTTTTTCATATTCAGAATTGCATTTTTACATTAGTTAACTCAGATTTTGCGGAAGAGGCAGCGAATGGTCGCTGATGGTGGTGACCAGACATGGTAGCCGGGTTTTGCATGCTCGCAAAAAGTATGCATACGTAATGAAATCTGTACACACAAAAAAAAAATAAAACAATTGCCTCAATCGTTGTTTCTGAATATACCACAGGGTGGTCACTCCCGCGACTATCTCACTCAACCTCCTCAGACTATCGCGTCAAATCCCCCGGGGTGCCCTCTTCAGTGATTCTAAATACAACGTTGTGTTATAAAAAAAAATGATGCCGAAATCGACGCTATGCGCTACGCTGATTCTCGACGAAATGCGTTAGCATATTGCACAGGGTTCGTATTCAGCGAAGGATGGGACTTCCAACCTCGCAATGGTCCGCATACTGTTGTCTTCGAAGTGCCTCTCTGTTCTCCCGGGCGTCGGCGGTGTCGGATGCAGCAACCGCAGCTTCCCTCGATCGCCGCCTACGGTCCGCACACTCTTGTCTTTGAAGAGTCTACCTTTCCTTTCGGGTGTCGGCGGTTTCGCGCAAACGGAGTCGTCGCTGGGCCTTAATTTTACGTTGTCGAGTACGTTGTGCCACGGCCACTCCATGCCCTCCTCTCCCGCTCCCGCGGCGCGTCATTAGAAGCGTGCCAGAAGAGTGTTTTCCTCTTGTAAGAAGGAAAGCGGACGTAAGGAGCGAACGAACGGAGCGAAAGAGCATGTGGGAACCGCGCCGCAGCCTCACGAAACCATTCTAGTACAGTCCAGTCCAAACCACGACCGCCGAAACGAAACACGGCTGCGTGCACCAAAAACAATGATTGCCAATGCATTAAGGAAAACAGTGACAAAGCAGTAACTTAACAAAACGACGTAAAGAAAACAATAGCTAGGTTAGAGGTGATCTTCACCAAAGTAAAACGATTGCATGAGAAGTACCACGACCGCATGGTTCCCGTCGGCGTCCGTGCCTTCAGAGAGTTCAGGTTCACTATATATGTCATACAGAAACCACTGAAACAGCCCCCATAGCCGGATTCGCAAACAGCTCTGCTCTCGACAAAAGCAATATGTAACAAGTTGTGTAACAAGCAATATGTAACAAGTTGATGTAACAAGCAGATAAGAAGGTGCGCCGCGCGCGAAAAGATTGACAGTACAAACTATTAAGCGCGGATTGTCTTCTCGACACTTGGGATCGCGGAAGAGCCTATTTTGACCAGAACACGTGCACTTACCCGAACAGATTGTGCCGGTAACGCCGTGAACTCCGACCACGCAGGGGATGCCGTACTCCCGGGCCACCACGGCGCCTGCGCACAAGGGCCGTTATGGCGGTGAATGGTGACCGAGAAAAACGCGATAGGTGACGATGACACGGTTTGTTTGAAGCGCCTGTTTTGCGCGAAGGAATTTACTGCCATCCGAATGAATGCATGCTCAGAGCGGTGACTGTCTTGTTTGCTCTGTTCGAAACATTGGGTAATCCTATAATTCTTGGATGTTGAAAAACCATCTGCAGTATATTTCTTAAATAAATATAATATTAAAAAAAAATAACTAACAATGTTGAGCCAGTCTCTCTACGTGGCTAACCAAGATCAACAGTCAATAATAAAAGTACCAGGTGTTCTGAAATACTGTGGGTTACTTCTAGGTTACTTTCTTTTTCACAAGGGTAATTTAGAAATACAACATTGAATCGCATGAAAATAGTGGTTGCGATATTCATTTAGACACTGTGTCATTGAATGACGGAGAAAAATGCTGCCCATCAATATGATTTATTTATACTCTTCTTCTCAGGGATATGTGATTAGCTTGAGCCAGTTTGGAGCACCGTTTGGAGCAGCCAAAGGTTCTTTTTGGTGCAGCAAAAATAACTTTTGAAGCAGAACTGTGAATTTCGTTCGCATTCCGTCGTGTGTGAAAAAGATGTAAAACAAAAGTCACGTATTGGCCCGTGAATTACAAATAGTGCCTTCTTTGCTATCACAAGCTCCCGTGCAACTACTCATAGCTTCCTTGAAATGCAATTTTCCCCTGCTTAAAAGCACCAGACATGTAAATAAAATATTTTTACAATATGTACGCTTTTGTCCTCTAACAGCAGCTGTTTTTTTATTCTTTATTTCAAAAGTTGCAATAAGATCGCGATTTTTATTTTACTACAAACGAAGCTTTCATCATTATAGAACATCAACGACCTTTTGCACGTGAACGGCATTATGGCTATACAAAATCTGTATGTAGGCAATGTTTGTTTAACAAAATTCAGTAGATTTCTTTCAGACTATTAGCAAGCTTCCATTCGTACGCAGCCAAAGCTAGTCTTATTTGAATTTGAATTACTTATCGACTTAGTAATCATTCCAACCAGAGCTCAGCGTTCTGACGTGCCCGCGCGCTCTCGTAGTTTCTCGGTGGATATCTACTCGGATTTTCCATTATTAATACGATATCGTTAAGGAGCTCGGGACGCGCCGCCTTCGTTGGCGTGCAAAAAAAAAGGCGCGCCGGCCTTGGTGCCGTGCCAGAAAAAGCCGGCGTGACGCCCGTGCCAGCAAAGCTGCCGTGACGCGAAAATCCTGATTGGTCAGTAGGGGCATGACGTCACAGCCATATAACCTAGGCTCGCCTGTCTGAAGGAGCGTACAGTTTCCGTCCGTCGCGGAGGAGAGCAGCGTTTCCGGCCGTCGCCAAGTCCGCCCAGCGGCGCTGGGAGAGTACACGTGTGCGATAGATGCGGTGCCGTCTACCCGTGCGGGCCGCTCTTCTTAATCGTCGTCTTCTGCGAGTGCGGATGCCGTATCTACGTCAACTCCTGCTAGGCAACGGGGTCGGCCACGTAAAACTGAAGCCGAGAAGGCGGAGACGAAAGCTAGGCGTGCAAGGCAATGCGCCACAAGCGGGCCGTGGATTCGATAATGCTATCGCGTTTTACTCTTAAAGGCGAAGTTTAAGCATCTTCCGAGGTTTTGTAAAGCCTAAAACCTGCAGAAACAATCCCAACCCGACTAATGATGTGCGCAGGTATTTAGGATATTGCAGTCGTGCGCAAAACACTTTTTTTTTATATATATATATTACATTTGGAAGGTGTTGGCTCCGAGAACGCATGCATCTGCGTTGCAGGGAAGCACAGCATGCAGAATCGCTGTGCCCACAATAAGGTTGCTTCTCCGTAGGGCACCAAAGCCCATTAAGAAGCGCACTTGCTAGAGCTAGCATAGCCGCCGAAACTGTGAGCAATGTACCTATTGCTAAATTACCCACGCGTCAGGGAGAATGCTGGGAATGTAGATCTACGCGCCACACGCGCTCGTCTCTCCCGTATGGACGATTTGAAATAAATAACCAAAATAAGGCGTTGACGAACGCGTGTGCAAGATGCCATTTGTTTTTGGCTTTTGCCTTAGAATAGCTGCTGCTGCAGCGTGTGTAACTACACCCGCAGCACGCTCCTTGGTGCTTTGGTAATTTAACAAAAGGTCTACTAGAGCCACACATGTTGGAGAACTTACGACAATAGACCATTGCTAAATTACACAAGCAGCAAGGAGCATGCTACGAGTGTGGTTACACGCGCTCCACGTGCTTGCGTATGCAGCAGTAGCTGTTCTAAGGCAAAAGCCAGAAACAAATGGCATCTTGCACGTGGTTCGTCAACGCCTCATTTTGGTAATTGCTTTCAAATCTTCTCAACGAGGAACACAAGCGCATGTGGCGCGTAGAATTACTTACATTCTCAGCATTCTCCCTGACGCTTGGGTAATTTAGCAATAGGTCTATGGTGGCGTTTGATGCGAAAAGTAGAATCGAAGGGTACGTTACCCGAACTGATACTACAAAATTGTCCGAAATAGGCACAATACTTTTGTATGCATCCGGCATTGTACCGTGACCTGAATTATTAGGAGGCGATCAAGAATCAAAATGAGCTTTTGACGCAGCGTTGGCGCAAATTCGTCACATTTTGGTGAATTGTTGCAGCATTTAGCGGGATATGAGCCGTTTGGCGCAATTGGCACAACAATTGAATCACAGCATTTTATTAGCTGCAATTGGCATTTAGAACCCCCCCCCCCCCCCCTTTAATGGTCCATGTTAGTCCTCACATTAGCCCATAAATGATACCACCCAGATGGCTGCAGTAGTGCATCTGCTACGTCACCTACTGAAGGCCAGCATTGGCCCAGACAGACACGAGCGCCGCGTTCGGCTGGTGCTCGTATTCAAACAGCGAGGACGCAAATATCGACCTGAAGTGTTACCCATGGGCCCCCTTCAGGTGGCGTAAAAAATCCCGACCCCACGGCCTTGTGATTTAGGATAAGTGTGGACGATACCTTCTGCACAAGCACCCTTAAAAGGATACTGAACCGAAATTTGGATTTCGCAAAATAAGGCCGCAGAAGCGTTGAACGGGACGCTATGAACTCCAAAACATCACTCATACATCGATATCTCGAACGGATGGCCGTACTTTTGAAAAAGAAGGACGCGATCAAGTGAGGTCTTTGACGTCATTGTCCTGCAGGAGAATTCGAGAACGAGGGGAAGCGGCCACGCTTCTCTCCTCCTCGCTTCGGTTGACCGGCTCGACGGGACGTAGCGAAGAGGAGAGGGAACGGGAATTGGTGACGTGACTTGTCTCGTCGGCACTGTTCAATCGCGCACTTTTCCGAAAATACGGCGACCCGTTAGAGATATCGCTGTATAAGTGATGCTTTTCGGTTTTGCAGCGTCCCGGCTATCCGTCCAGATTTGTTTCGTGAGCTCGAAATTTCGGTTCAGTATAAATGTTTTTTTTTTTTTTTTTTTTTCGCGACGAGCGTTAGGTGCGTGCCCGGATGACTCACCGTGAGAAATGAGGCCCCCCAGCTCAGTGACCACGCCGGCGACGAGCGGGAAGTAGGGGCTCCACGCGATGTCGGTGCAGTACGCCACCAGGACGTCTCCCTTCTGCGCCCAAGTAATAGAGAGTTATTCCTGTAGAGTCCTGGAATAGGCTAATGGTCACGAAACTTCTCCGTAAAACTATGGGACAGCTTGATACACGACCATGCGTGAGCGCCGACAATATAAATAAACAAAAAATAACTTATTTGTAAGTTTTTGTTGTTAGAGATCAATAAACAATGATCGCTGCTTGCGTGTAAAGTGATGAATTAGAGGCTTTAATAAAAGTGTCAGTGCATGAAAAGTTGTTTTTCGATAACGAAAATGCTCCCTTTGGAGCGGTGGTGCGTCTGGTGGCGGTGCTTGACCCTGTACCAAACTTTGGCCGAAGTATCATGAGCAGCAGCGCGTTGAAGGACTTTCGTATTGCGTGTACAGGAGCAAACGCAAGCGCTTTGCATTTGCATTAGCGTTGCCTGCTTCCCGCTGCACGTGCGCGTTGTCACCATGCGCCGATCCAAGACCCAATTTGGTCTCCGCGCAAACGCTGTATTTATGAAACACTCAATGCTAACGCGGACGCACAGTGTTTGCGCCCGTGTTCGTATACGCAAAATTTGCCCCACACGTCCCGTGATTGTGTAGGTTGCCTACATATAACCACGGGGCGAGTTTTAGTATCGTACGAACGACAAACGCAACCACTGTGCGCCCATTATGAACAACAATTTTTTTTGAACAACATGGCGTCTTGACGTATAATCTAAAGGATACTGCGCATCGTCTTTCGCAAGTAACAACGACCAACGTGCGTAGCGAAGCCATCGGAAATGGGAACATGGCGCCTCCCGCCTTATTCCGAAGTAGCGACAACCAACACGCACGACGAAGCACATTTAGAAGGAAGAACGTAGTTTTCAAAACCCCATTTCACAAAGTCCAGCCTCAGCTTATGCGAAGAGCAAGTCGTCTGCTTTTTGCGCAAAAGTTGCGGTGACGTCAGAAAGACGTCGAGCTCTGATTGGCTCTGATTGAAGTTTAGTGGGTAGACCTCAAAGAAAGCTGCCTCGCATGAGGTCTACCCACTATCCTTCATTCCGAACCAATCACACCTTGGCGTTCTCACGTCACCACAATTCCTGCAAAAGAAGCAGACGAACTTGCGCTCCGATACGATCCGAAGAAGCCGATCAAGCAGTGCCAAAAGTGCTTCGTCACGGCACTCATTGTCTTTGTTACCGAAGTTTAGCCACAGGCTTGGGACTCCTCCTTTCTTTGATGAAGCCAAGTTTCCCAGAGCGAGACTTTGGCCGCGACAATAAAGTCTCAAGAGCAATTCCTCCTAGAAATATTTCCCGTGCAGTGTCCTCTGTTTTGTTTTTTTCGTTGTTCTTATACTTCAGTTTTTGCCGTACCCTTAAGCGTTATTGGAAAATCAAGACTACGTTGTTGGCCCTTGGAAAGCTGCATACGTTTTCTAACGGCACGACTTACCTGGATGTGAGAAGCGTCTTCGATGGAGCGCACTACACGCGCTGGTCCCTCAGCCACGCCTCCACTCACCGGTGTTCCTGCACAGTATACCGAGCCAGGTGAACATCTTTGTGCGCAGGACCCCCGTTGTTTTTTCTTTCGTTTTCGTTTGGTTCAGGATAAGCAATTATTGCTCGTTTGATTTCGTTTTAGGTGCCAGTAGAAAAAGTTCTCTCAGCGACACACGAAGGAAACGTGCCCTCAAAGCTCGTATTTGGGAACACCGCCGCGTGTACAATCTCCGTGGGGAGCAAAACGAGGAGTGGTGCTCCCTAGTGGCCGCCTCGGGAAGTAACGTTGTGTGGCAAACAGACCTTCCGATCGCGGTCATTAGTGCATTCGGTGCCATGGAGGGCGAGGACGCGAGGCCATAGTTAAATTTATATAACACCATTGTTTTCTTCTAAACGCATCTAGATAAAAGTAATCTAGTCTCCTCTTGCGTTCAATGTCATCGAAGTCCTCTTGGAAGGCAAAACAAGCACATGTGTAAACACGCGCGGGCGTGCTGAGCCAGCCGCGTCGTGTCGGCCGCGCACGCTAGATCGTGCGTGGCCGGCGTGGCGTCCGTGTTTTTCTGAATGATTCACAAAACACGCACTTCACTTTTCGGTTACCCTGTCTCTCGCGACAGCCATGGACGACATCGGCGAAATCAAACGGTGTCTCGTTGAAAGAGACGACGTGCTCAACTGCGATCCCGTCATCGAGTGCAGCGTTGCAGCAGAGCCGACGGCGAACAGTGTCCGCATCGTCGCGTACGTGCTTCTAGCACTGCGGTACGCAGCAAGTGCGCACCATAACGCTACAAACAAATATGCAGCGAGAGCGGAAACGATGCGGAGTAGGCTAGGCGAGTGCTGGCGTCAGAGTTTGCCAAACAGCGATTGTTTCTCTGGTGATGATGAGGATAATGAAACTTCGCCCCCTATTGTACCATCCCCTCGCCAATAGCCAATCCGACGCTGTGTCTAAATCGCGTACTGCGCCCCCTATAGTACCATCCCCTGCCAATAGCCAATCCGACGCTGTGTCTAAATCGCGTACTGCGCCCCCTATAGTACCCTCCCCTGCCAATAGCCAATCCGACGTTGTGTCTAAATCGCGTACTGCGCCCCCTATAGTACCATCCCCTGCCAATAGCCAATCCGACGCTGTGTCTACATCGCGTACTGCGCCCCCTATAGTACCATCCCCTGCCAATAGCCAATCCGACGCTGTGTCTAAATCGCGTACTGCACCCCCTATAGTACCATCCCCTGCCAATAGCCAATCCGACGCTGTGTCTAAATCGCGTACTGCGCCCCCTATAGTACCATCCCCTGCCAATAGCCAATCCGACGCTGTGTCTAAATCGCGTACTGCGCCCGCTATAGTACCATCCCCTGCCAATAGCCAATCCGACGCTGTGTCTAAATCGCGTACTGCGCCCCCTATAGTACCATCCCCTGCCAATAGCCAATCCGACGCTGTGTCTACATCGCGTACTGCGCCCCCTATAGTACCATCCCCTGCCAATAGCCAATCCGACGCTGTGTCTAAATCGCGTACTGCGCCCCCTATAGTACCATCCCCTGCCAATAGCCAATCCGACGCTGTGTCTAAATCGCGTACTGCGCCCCCTATAGTACCATCCCCTGCCAATAGCCAATCCGACGCTGTGTCTAAATCGCGTACTGCGCCCCCTATAGTACCATCCCCTGCCAATAGCCAATCCGACGCTGTGCCTAAATCGCGTACTGCGCCCCCTATAGTACCATCCCCTGCCAACAGCCAATCCGACGCTGTGTCTAAATCGCGTACTGCGCCCCCTATAGTACCATCCCCTGCCAATAGCCAATCCGACGCTGTGTCTAAATCGCGTACTGCGCCCCCTATAGTACCATCCCCTGCCAATAGCCAATCCGACGCTGTGTCTAAATCGCGTACTGCGCCCCCTATAGTACCATCCCTTGCCAATAGCCAATCCGACGCTGTGTCTAAATCGCGTACTGCGCCCCCTATAGTACCATCCCCTGCCAATAGCCAATCCGACGCTGTGTCTAAATCGCGTACTGCGGCCCCTATAGTACCATCCCCTGCCAATAGCCAATCCGACGCTGTGTCTAAATCGCGTACTGCGCCCCCTATAGTACCATCCCCTGCCAATAGCCAATCCGACGCTGTGTCTAAATCGCGTACTGCGCCCCCTATAGTACCATCCCCTGCCAATAGCCAATCCGACGCTGTGTCTACATCGCGTACTGCGCCCCCTATAGTACCATCCCCTGCCAATAGCCAATCCGACGCTGTGTCTAAATCGCGTACTGCGCCCCCTATAGTACCATCCCCTGCCAATAGCCAATCCGACGCTGTGTCTACATCGCGTACTGCGCCCCCTATAGTACCATTTCCTGCCAATAGCCAATCCGACGCTGTGTCTACATCGCGTACTGCGCCCCCTATAGTACCATCCCCTGCCAATAGCCAATCCGACGCTGTGTCTAAATCGCGTACTGCGCCCCCTATAGTACCATCCCCTGCCAATAGCCAATCCGACGCTGTGTCTAAATCGCGTACTGCGCCCCCTATAGTACCATCCCCTGCCAATAGCCAATCCGACGCTGTGTCTAAATCGCGTACTGCGCCCCCTATAGTACCATCCCCTGCCAATAGCCAATCCGACGCTGTGTCTAAATCGCGTACTGCGCCCCCTATAGTACCATCCCCTGCCAATAGCCAATCCGACGCTGTGTCTAAATCGCGTACTGCGCCCCCTATAGTACCATCCCCTGCCAATAGCCAATCCGACGCTGTGTCTACATCGCGTACTGCGCCCCCTATAGTACCATCCCCTGCCAATAGCCAATCCGACGCTGTATCTAAATCGCGTACTGCGCCCCCTATAGTACCATCCCCTGCCAATAGCCAATCCGACGCTGTGTCTAAATCGCGTACTGTGCCCCCTATAGTACCATCCCCTGCCAATAGCCAATCCGACGCTGTGTCTAAATCGCGTACTGCGCCCCCTATAGTACCATCCCCTGCCAATAGCCAATCCGACGCTGTGTCTAAATCGCGTACTGCGCCCCCTATAGTACCATCCCCTGCCAATAGCCAATCCGACGCTGTGTCTAAATCGCGTACTGCGCCCCCTATAGTACCATCCCCTGCCAATAGCCAATCCGACGTTGTGTCTAAATCGCGTACTGCGCCCCCTATAGTACCATCCCCTGCCAATAGCCAATCCGACGCTGTGTCTAAATCACGTACTGCGCCCCCTATAGTACCATCCCCTGCCAATAGCCAATCCGACGCTGTGTCTAAATCGCGTACTGCGCCCCCGATAGTACCATCCCCTGCCAATAGCCAATCCGACGCTGTGTCTAAATCGCGTACTGCGCCCCCTATTGTACCATCCCCTCGCCAATAGCCAATCCGACGCTGTGTCTACATCGCGTACTGCGCCCCCTATAGTACCATCCCCTGCCAATAGCCAATCCGACGCTGTGTCTACATCACGTGATTACGCATCCCGTTTGTCCCGACAAGGCGGATTATCCGTCGTTGAAAGAGATTCCGCGTTTCGTGCGTTAAAGCGCTGTCGCACCGCTTATACATTATACTAGGGTGCCTAGAAATAGCAGGACAGGCTTCGCCTACAAAGCCCTCCACCCATTCCCCTTTAGCGGAGCGAACGCTGGGGAGGAACGAAATGGAGGGGAGGAAATCACAAATCATGGTGAGCAGAGATTTTTGAAAAAACAACAAAAAAAAACATATATATATATTTTTTTGCTATATTTCAAATCTGCAACAGACTACGGTTGAGGGGAAAAAGGAGTGCGAACCTCAGAAGTGCGTTTTTGAACACCGTTTTTGAAGAACAAGTAATGCCTCACCTTTCAATAATTTTTTACCGGGAGTGACTTCCTCCTTCGCGTGCTGGTTCAGCTGCGGACAGACAAGAAAAGGATGAAGTATCGTTAACGCTCATCTATGAACTTAAAATAATAATGCGGGTGCAAATATTGGTTTATCAAAACATTTCAGTAAAATTAAAAATGTAAGCGACCCCCTCCCCCCCCCCCCCCCCTCTTTGAAAAAATGTCAGCATTTCTGCAGTGTCAAAGAAATGAATCGAACACCAGCCACGCACGTGCCAACCGATCGTTGCCCTAACTTCATCATTTGAACCTTTCTTGTTTTTATAGAAATTCGCTCGTAGATGAGTACATACCTCTAGCTACACGTTAAAACGTAAAAACGTAAAAAAACGTAAAAATATGTACATACCTAGGCTACCCGTAAAAACACAGGGTGTTTTTAATGTTTTTACGTATTTGTTAAAAAAAAGTTGTCAAAGCTATATACGCTTTCAGGCAGCTGTGCAAGGACGCCGCCATAACCGACCTTCAGTTTATGTTCCCTCTTATTCCGTTCGCTCCGCTTCATCATTACCACAGCAGGACAGGTTATTGCAATTTTAAGTGTTACTGTATCCTTCTCCCCAGCATAGGTCCTTGTGGAGATTCGTCAACGAACGCTTCAGTGGCTCGGCATCTCGGTAAGACTAGAGAAGGTCGGCAATGGCGGCTCAATCTGGCGAGCGCTGAAAGCGTCCATATACTACGGCGCAGGTGAGTTATACGGCCAGGGAGACATAATGTAAGCGGATAACCGTCGCAATAAGTCGGTGAATTATCTGAAATAGGTTGATTACCTTTTTTGAATTATTGAAGACAACGATATGGTTTCAACCAGAAACTTCCTGAGCGTCATAGAAAACAAATTTTAGAAAGACTCGAGGCGCGGGAGAAGCGCGGTGGAGCGCCTAAAGTTACCACTTGCATAACTGGCGCAAGGCTATACTCCGTTTCACCTGATGTTGTACCGCAGCGAAGGCTAGGAGCGCGAGCTCATAGCGTCGGCAGCTGCCCTTGGTGCACGAGAGCTTGTGCCGCCGAGGTGTGCCATAGAGCAAGGAGCTCGCGCTTGTAGCCTTTCCTGTGGTACAACACAACGTGAAACAGAGTATAGTGGTGCGAATAATCATCCGCGGTTTCGGACAGCCAGCTTTGCGCCCGTTGCACGAGGAGTAACTTCAGCGAACCATCGAAATTTCCCACGCACTTCCCACATCTTTCTAAAATTTACTTCTTTACAGTGACTATCTTTGACTCTCGGCAAGTTTCTAACTGAAACCATACGTTTATCGTCATTAATTAAAGTTAACTAGATATGTATTTTTAGGTAATTATCTCACTTATCGTGACGATTAGCCCCCTATATTACGTCCCCCTGGTCGTATAACTCACCTCTACAAACCGTGTTAGTATACTTTCACGGTGTTTTTATAAACAAATCTGTAAAGCCCAACACACACACACACACATACACACACACACACACGCGCGCCACAATACTGAGCTTGTATTGTGGCGAGTTAGGAACATATCGTTATTGCTCTGTACTCGGCGATGTTGCAGCGTTAGCCAATAAGGACTCTGACGAACAAATCGCGAACCAATGGGAAGCGGAAACATTATACTGTTTCCTAAGCTGTCACTGACAGCTTAGGAAACAGTATAATGTTTCCGCTAAGTATTGTACACTCTGCAGATGTCCCTGAATGTGCCATTCACCGTAATGAAGTTTTATGAAGTTTTTTTTTTTTGTCGCTTGGAGAAAACGAATTAATAAACTGGTAGACTTGACTCCTTGCGATGTTGATGGCCATGACCCCAGGAGATGATTGAGCATGAGCACTTATCCGTTGTGAAGAGCCAGGAAGTTTATCAGTTAATTTCATTGGTCAGTGCAGAAGGTGCAGTGACAAAGGACGTGTTTAGGCGTGTCTACGACGTCACAGCTCTCGCATGTAGTCGAGTCCAGCTGACCTGTGAGATTTAGCTAATATTTTGTTGAGGCCGCGTTCAGCCGTATTCAGTGAAGAGCGGTTTATGTCCGACGTTTGAGTCCTTGTGGTGGACGAAAGGTGACAAGAAGGGGTTAATGCTATGAAGGTGTCTGTCATGATCGCCCAGACGGTGTTTACTAGAGTCGCACTTATACGGTTGGTAGCAGCTCTGGCGTCTGAGCACGAGAATGGAATGAAAGTACGTCAGTGAAAACACCCTTTCAGCGACGTCATTTCATCCACCATTTTGTTATAAACCGTCAGGCGAGTGCAGAAGGAGAGCACTCCGAAGTTTCACATGAAACCCTCAAATCGCTAGTGCACAAAAGCTTATAAGTTTCATCGTGCTAACATCTAACAATGAAATGCCGGATTGACGCCATGTGAAAACGCGCTATTAGCGGCGAGATGTTTCGGTGGCGCCCTCGTTTGGCTACCTTTCGTGACGTTATTACCTTGTGGACAACAAGCTCGATGGTGTTTGTGATGAGCACTATGGAAGCCTGAAATCACAGCGGTCTCAAAGCAACACTGCCAACACCGTCAAAATTGAAGTTCTTACATTCCTCTTATTTCCGTCGATAAAAAATCCTTTGCTGACGTCACAGTCAGCATTCGGCCAATTGTGCTGGGCCAACGACATCGACACTTTCGATCGCTCACGTTGCCAATACTCCAGCCTACAAACATCTGTAGAGCTGACAAAAAAGGGCGGACGCGAGCGCGTGACTCTGAAAAGTGCCTCCAATGCGCGAGTTTTCACGGGAATGAAATGTTCAGCTGAGTTAGGCCCATGGTTAGGGTCATGTACCTGTGCCGTTGTTTGTACTGTAGCCATTAGAAAGTTTTAATGGATCGTTCCGATACCCTCGACACGATGTTTGCGCAAAGGCAACGGCGGAGTATCGGGTATCGTTATCGGAGTCATCGGGACGCTCTAGTATACTCTCTATTTGTGAGATGTAGTATAGTTGGCGTGTTCAGCAAACAACCTGACCCTACCCGACTGTGTGGACAATACGGCCACTAACGTTTTGGGTGGTTCTCATTTGAACCCGTTCGCATTTCTACCTTCTCGTTTTTACCCTCTCATTTCAACCCAGCGCAAAACAACTTTCGCGTTTCTCCCTTTCTCATTTAAACCGTTCTCAAAACAAACTTTCGGGTTTTGACCCTTCTCAAAACGACTTTTCTCATTTTAACCTTTCTCATTTCAACTTTTCTCAAAACATACTTTCTGGTTTTGACCATTGTCAGAAAGACTTCTCTCATTTTAACCTCTCTCATTTCGAACCCAAATTAATCCAACATCATGATCTCGCAATCTTTCTGCGGTATTTATGGAGAATTCGGGTAATTAATTGCCTTCGAGCCCTTGCCTGTGGCACCGGCGACAAAAAACGCGCCAGCGGCGCATCACGTGACCCTCTCCACCCGAATGCAAAGTACAATGAACTAGCGTTTTTATTTGACTGGGTTGCGAGTGAGCTCTGTTAACTTATTCTTCGATCATTCTATGGTACCACGAGCACGCTGCATACGCCAACAACATAAATTACGACTCTTTGAGATGTGTCTAAAGAGAAGCGGCTTCATAAAGCTTTTCAAAATATTGGCATTACCACAGTCCGTACAGCTGACAGAATATTAAAATATAAAATCAATGAAAGGGCAGATGTATAAATCAGTGTGGTCCTACCCGCACGCGCGTCAAATTTCAATAAACTTCGTTTGGATTTTCGATTAACTGTTGCCACGGAGGCTTGCCAGCGTCGCTTTCAATATTCTGTTTACTGTTAGTAGAGAGTTTTTGTAGATCGTTCCCATGACTCCGATAACGATACCCAATACTCCGCCACCACCTCCCTTGCGCATGCATAGTATCGTTATCGGGGCTATCGGAACGATCTACTAAAACTCTCTAGTACCCTTTTTGGAATCCTCAGTCTTCTCATTGCACCCACCCTCCTTGAAATCGTAATGTGTGTTCAAGTTTCAAACTGCATCACTATGTATACATTTTTTCAGCGGTGTAATAACTTGTTATTACAGAGTTGTAAAATAAAGTGATGTATGATGCAGCCCGTGTCTCAGAGCAAACATACCTTGCTCAGGCTGGATAAATTCTCCCAAAAATGTTGACTTTCTTTGAAACATAAATTATCTTTCTCTTCGTTGTTTTTGCTATCTTGTCTCAGAGCAGGAAAGGGTGCCTGTCTCGATGGCTTCGTTTGCCACTCGAACCCGCTATTTGCCGCCTCAGCGAGCATTGTTTCGTTTGGTTCCCTATCCCGATTCGGATGTGACGACACCGGATACAGTCTGGCAGACAAGCTGCCCGACCTCTTGGAGCTCGGGAAAACTTCTGCTGGTAAATTGCCGGTACACGCCTGAGAAGCGCAACCCGAAAAGCTTGCACCCGCCAGCCTTTGACCACGCGAACGCCCTTGCCGAAGATATGGGAAAACTTTTTTTCAGGGAAAATGACCACCCAAATTGGCCATTACAAGCAATAACACACGACTAGCATAATGATCCATCCGCTTGACACGACGAAATTTTAACGACATCAATAGCGCCAGAAGAGAAATGAAGTACCGAACCTGCGCTAGCACTTTTGAAACCACGTCCCCATGTGACCACATAGCTACGTCAACAGACTCGGGGTGGCACGCAGGCATAACGAAAATTGTTTCATGTGCTATGCAAGAGATGGTGCCGCTTCGCTTCATCTTCAACCTTCATCCTCAACTGTTTTGTAACTCTAGCCAACATAAAGGTTTTCCAATCCAAAAAAATCCTTCTTTCTATACCTCACTACGATGTTCAAATGACAACGGGTTCAAATGAGAAACGGTCGAAACGCGAAAGGTTAAAACGCGAAGGGCGTTTTGCGAATGGGTTCAGACGAGAAGGGTTCAAATGAGAATGGGTTCAAATGAGACGGGTATAAATAAGAAAGGGTCGAAACGCGAAAGGTTAAAACGAGAAGGGCGTTTTGCGAATGGGTTCAAACGAGAAGGGTTCAAATAAGAATGGGTTGTTTCGAGATACACCCAACGTTTTAGAGCGCAGCTCTTAGGGGCCCGTTTCCAGCCTGAGCGGCGTCGGCGTCGGCGTAACCAGGGGGGGTCATGTGACCCCCCCCCCCGAGATCACGTGACCCCCCCCCCCCCTTGAGGTCACGTCCCCCCCCCCGAGGTTAGGTGGCCCCCACCCCCGAGGTCAGGTGACCCCCTCCCCCCACGTGACCCCCCCTGAGGACAGGTGACCCCCTCCCCCCACGTGACCCCTCCGAGGTCACGTGACCCCCCGAGATCACGTGACCCCCCCCGAGGTCACATGACCCCCCCCCCCCCCCCGAGGTTACGTGACCCCCCTCCCCCCCCCCCCCCCCCGGGATCACGTAACCCCACCCCTCGAGGTCACGTGACTACCCGCAGGTGACGTGACCCCCCTCAGTACCCCCTACTCCTCCTCAAGAGCTGCGCTCCAATTCGGCGTTACAGGGATTTGTAAACGGCTTTCATTTTTTTTTCCTAACGAAGTCGTTACCTGCTTAGCGATGAATACTGTTTTCGGTAATCTATGCGCATCATAAATGACCAGGAACACGGACAACCGTCGGGCTGAACTTACAAACTGCGGGATGCCCTTGAAGAGCTCAGGGAACACTCTCTTCTTGAGTTCCGGGTGCAGCCGATGACGTCGCACTGCCCTGCGTCCCAGAATGTAGACAGGCTTTGTTCAGGGCTATAGCCTTAATGTTCTGAGCACGTATTCGCGGGCGGACAAGAACTGTACTGTATATTGCGGTACGTTCCCATATAAACGACAGTAGTGCGAACAGCCAACATCTGAAGCTTTTTGATCATTACCAGCCAACATCTGAAGCAGCTAAAGCTGGGGACCTTTCATTCATATATAGTACAGACGTTTTCTTCCCCAAGGGAGATGACACTTTTGTCACGTCCGTTAGTTTTCATTTGCAAATATCAACGAAAACTGGTTACTTGAGAATGTGCAGCACTTCAGCGTAGAAGTTCTTTTCCCTTGATTCCTTGCATAAACAGAGTTAACCGAGGCGGCATGCGTCTCTCATTTACACGTGCGATTGATGTGCAGGCTCCGACTTTTTGGGGCTGATTTTACGGAAAGTTGACACTTCTCGCTCGGGCAATCAGCTGCTCGAAGGAACGGTCCGACGGCGCGTCGTATATATACTCACTTCGCCACCAGCTTGGGCGACCGTGTGGCGAGCAGCTGTTCGATCTCGGGCAGCGTGAGGAAGAAGAGTACGTCGGCCTCGGGCAGTCGACCCTCGGCCACCATCTGGGACGCCAGGTGCCGCAGTGCTGTCCGGAACGCGTCGGTCATCTTCACCATCAGGTTCTGTAAATCCGCCATCAAACATCATACAAAAGACATGATGTCGCTGCAGACACGGTGACAGAAGTATATATTTGCGGACACGCCTGATGAATCATCGGAGCGTGTTCACTTCACACGTATGTGTGTCTTCCAACATGTCTGCAGACGAAGTCTTGGACGCTGTTGGAAAATAACCGGACGCGCCTGAAAACGTCTTAGCCGACCGTCAGATTTGTCGCGCACGCTTAGCACATCAAGCATAGAGCGCCTGTGTAAATAGCCCAACACGCGGTTTTGAATTCCTGCCGCGGCGGTGGTGGTGCTATCGGTACAGCCAATGTACAGCGCACTAGAGAGAGCCTAGATTAGAGAGAGGGTCCAACTCAGGGACCGTGGGGAGCGTCAGCCTATTAATGGCGATCAACGCTTTTGCCACCTCATTGAAGCTCGTATTGGAAACGCGGCCCATGCACGATCGAGCAGTTGGACACTCTCGCGAATCTGGTTTCTGTGCACGCGCAATGCCCACACACTACCAGGTGTCCCTGCACGCATACTGCACTGCAGTGCACTCGGGACGACGGTCGTTGGTCTCCCCTTTAATCTGTTTAGCCAGTGAGGTGTGGGGTGAGCGGTATCGCGTCCCAATGGGCATGCAGCGGGGCACACGCCGAAATAATCGCTTACAAAGCCGTTGTACCTAATTCCTGCGTCGTTTTGTACTCCCGTCTCGAACGTTCCCCACATATTCTCCGCTCGGTAGTGTTTTTAACTCCTTCCTTCGTCAGCCTCAAGAAGGTTGCCATTAGTTTGACACAAATGCCACACTGATTAGATGATGAGAATAATAGGGATACTGAATTTTGAGGAAGGTCTGTTGCCTTAGAAAAAAATTATTTTGCGTGAGCTTTAGTGTCTGAGTCTAACGGTTGAACTGCACTGGCCAAATTTCTCATCTAAGAGACCGGTCACACGTGGAGGAGTACCAACATCAAGGCTGTCTAAACAAGCAAGCAACACAATATATTTTTTTTTCATGCGCGGCTCCGTTACTATTTATATAGCGGAGGTCCCAGCGGATTATAGATAGCGTAGTGGGTATGACCAGTCTTGTCTCCGCAAGGCCGAGAATTCTACAGGAGGTGTTGCTTCAAACTTCCAGACAGGTGGGAAAGGTGTATACAAGGAAAGAGTAACTACTTAAAAAAAAAATGTCAGCAAAATAAAATTACCCAGCTTTGTTTTCGATACTGCAACGTAATAATTTATAAAAAAATGTTGCTTAATACTTTTGTACGACCCTAGTTCATATAAACTCGGACGTACACTTATTCACGTGTGCTATTGCGACGATGCAGTAAATAATAGTTTGAAACCACCCTACGATGGCCTAGCCCCTCGTATGGTGGTTTCATCAATGAACATCTCGTGTATCATACAAATATTGCTATATTAAAAGTACCAATCAACGTGTCTGCTTCCACCGCTATTTGTTCTTTTACAATATTTGCTTGCTTACGAATCAAAAATTAACCAGGTATCTCGATTATTAATATTTGTTTCCTTAGCTGCATTCTGTGAAAACACGCACGGTTGTTTGCAGACGTTGAGTTTTGCTTTTTATGAGACATATATTTCCTTCAAATATTATTCTCTTTACCGATAACGCGTAGGGTGCAGGAGTATACTATGTGCAACTTGTTTAACAATACAAATTTTAAAAACAATCTTTTACCGTTGGACGAGGCAGCAAATATTAACCGGCCGACTGCGCACATAGTCAGGAACAGTCTCACTTGAACTTAATAATGATCGCTTGCATCCGTGTGTGTGTTAGGTGTATATGGGCATACCTGCGAGCAGCTGTACACGTGCTCGATTCTTTGCGTGTGAGTGGACGCACGCACGCACATGCAGACACACACACACGCACACACACACACACATACAAACACGTAATCAGGAACAGTCTCACTTCAATTTAATATCGTTTGTGTGCTTGCGGGTGTGTTCGGTGTATATGGGTATAACCTGAGTGCAGCTGTACACGTGCGCGAATCTGTGTGCGTGAGTGGACGCACGCACGCACATGCAGACACACACACACGCACACACACACACATACAAACACGTAATCAGGAACAGTCTCACTTGAATTTAATATCGTTTGTGTGCTTGCGGGTGTGTTCGGTGTATATGGGTATAACCTGAGTGCAGCTGTACACGTGCGCGAATCTGTGTGCGTGAGTGGACGCACGCACGCACATGCAGACACACACACACGCACACACACACACATACAAACACGTAATCAGGAACAGTCTCACTTGAATTTAATATCGTTTGTGTGCTTGCGGGTGTGTTCGGTGTATATGGGTATAACCTGCGAGCAGTTGTGCACGTGCTCGATTCTTTGCGTGTGAGTGGACGCACGCACGCACATGCAGACACACACACACGCACACACACACACATACAAACACGTAATCAGGAACAGTCTCACTTGAATTTAATATCGTTTGTGTGCTTGCGGGTGTGTTCGGTGTATATGGGTATAACCTGAGTGCAGCGGTACACGTGCGCGAATCTGTGTGCGTGAGTGGACGAACGCACGCACATGCAGACACACACACACGCACACACACACACATACAAACACGCAATCAGGAACAGTCTCACTTGAATTTAATATCGTTTGTGTGCTTGCGGGTGTGTTCGGTGTATATGGGTATAACCTGCGAGCAGCTGTGCACGTGCTAGATTCTTTGCGTGTGAGTGGACGCACGCACGCACATGCAGACACACACACACGCACACACACACACATACAAACACGTAATCAGGAACAGTCTCACTTGAATTCAATATCGTTTGTGTGCTTGCGGGTGTGTTCGGTGTATATGGGTATAACCTGCGAGCAGCTGTGCACGTGCTCGATTCTTTGCGTGTGAGTGGACGCACGCACGCACATGCAGACACACACACACGCACACACACACATACAAACACGTAATCAGGAACAATCTCACTTGAATTTAATATCGTTTGTGTGCTTGCGGGTGTGTTCGGTGTATATGGGTATAACCTGAGTGCAGCTGTACACGTGCGCGAATCTGTGTGCGTGAGTGGACGCACGCACGCACATGCAGACACACACACACGCACACACACACACATACAAACACGTAATCAGGAACAGTCTCACTTGAATTTAATATCGTTTGTGTGCTTGCGGGTGTGTTCGGTGTATATGGGTATAACCTGAGTGCAGCTGTACACGTGCGCGAATCTGTGTGCGTGAGTGGACGCACGCACGCACATGCAGACACACACACACGCACACACACACACATACAAACACGTAATCAGGAACAGTCTCACTTGAATTTAATATCGTTTGTGTGCTTGCGGGTGTGTTCGGTGTATATGGGTATAACCTGAGTGCAGCTGTACACGTGCGCGAATCTGTGTGCGTGAGTGGACGCACGCACGCACATGCAGACACACACACACGCACACACACACACATACAAACACGTAATCAGGAACAGTCTCACTTGAATTTAATATCGTTTGTGTGCTTGCGGGTGTGTTCGGTGTATATGGGTATAACCTGAGTGCAGCTGTGCACGTGCTCGATTCTTTGCGTGTGAGTGGACGCACGCACGCACATGCAGACACACACACACGCACACACACACACACATACAAACACGTAATCAGGAACAGTCTCACTTGAATTTAATATCGTTTGTGTGCTTGCGGGTGTGTTCGGTGTATATGGGTATAACCTGAGTGCAGCTGTACACGTGCGCGAATCTGTGTGCGTGAGTGGACGCACGCACGCACATGCAGACACACACACACGCACACACACACATACAAACACGTAATCAGGAACAGTCTCACTTGAATTTAATATCGTTTGTGTGCTTGCGGGTGTGTTCGGTGTATATGGGTATAACCTGCGAGCAGCTGTGCACGTGCTCGATTCTTTGCGTGTGAGCGGACGCACGCACGCACATGCAGACACACACACACGCACATACAAACACGTAATCAGGAACAGTCTCACTTGAATTTAATATCGTTTGTGTGCTTGCGGGTGTGTTCGGTGTATATGGGTATAACCTGAGTGCAGCTGTACACGTGCGCGAATCTGTGTGCGTGAGTGGACGAACGCACGCACATGCAGACACACACACACGCACACACACACACATACAAACACGTAATCAGGAACAGTCTCACTTGAATTTAATATCGTTTGTGTGCTTGCGGGTATGTTCGGTGTATATGGGTATAACCTGCGAGCAGCTGTGCACGTGCTCGATTCTTTGCGTGTGAGTGGACGCACGCACGCACATGCAGACACACACACACGCACACACACACACACATACAAACACGTAATCAGGAACAGTCTCACTTGAATTTAATATCGTTTGTGTGCTTGCGGGTGTGTTCGGTGTATATGGGTATAACCTGAGTGCAGCTGTACACGTGCGCAAATCTGTGTGCGTGAGTGGACGCACGCACGCACATGCAGACACACACACACGAACACACACACACATACAAACACGTAATCAGGAACAATCTCACTTGAATTTAATATCGTTTGTGTGCTTGCGGGTGTGTTCGGTGTATATGGGTATAACCTGAGTGCAGCGGTACACGTGCGCGAATCTGTGTGCGTGAGTGGACGAACGCACGCACATGCAGACACACACACACGCACACACACACACATACAAACACGCAATCAGGAACAGTCTCACTTGAATTTAATATCGTTTGTGTGCTTGCGGGTGTGTTCGGTGTATATGGGTATAACCTGCGAGCAGCTGTGCACGTGCTAGATTCTTTGCGTGTGAGTGGACGCACGCACGCACATGCAGACACACACACACGCACACACACACACATACAAACACGTAATCAGGAACAGTCTCACTTGAATTCAATATCGTTTGTGTGCTTGCGGGTGTGTTCGGTGTATATGGGTATAACCTGCGAGC